TAAGGATCACATGATACGTTCAAACGTTGATCATAATGATCAAGTGATATGTTTCAATGTTTCAAACACTGGTCATAAAGATTAAATGATACGTTTCAAACTTTGATCATAAGGATCACATGATACTTTCAAACGTTGATCATAATGATCAAGTGATATGTTTTAATGTTTCAAACTTTGATCATAATGATCAAATGATACGTTTCGTACGTTGATCATAAGGGTCCAATGCTCTTTCAGAATTTTAACGTTGATAAGAATAAAATTAATGATACGTTTCAAACATTGGTCATAAGGATCAATTCATTCGTTTCAAACTTTGATCATAAGGATCACATGATACGTTGAAACGTTGATCATGAGGATCAAATGATATATTTCAAACGCTGGTCACAAGTAGCAGATGATCATAAGGATCAAGTCATACGTTTCAAAGGTGAACAAAAGGATCCAGTGCTACGTTCAAAACGTTGATCATAAGGTTCAAATGATATATTTCAAACGTTGAGCATAAAGATCAAAAGATGCATTTCAAACGTTACACAGATTAGTGTTTTGTTTTCTTGCGTGCGTGAACGTATGAAATACTCTCTCTTCATGTGGTAATAGCTCACAATGACGTCAACTTTCTAACTTCGCGTGTAATTACCACTGAGAGTAAATCCGAGTTCTAAATCAGAGCATGGAGTTCACTACTTAAAGCTCACGTGACATCCGGATTGTGTAAACCGCATGACTGTCGGTAGCCACGAGGAGACGGGCTTTCTAGATAATGATGCGCTTGGTACTCTGTGGCGGTATGTGAAACAGAGCTGTGACGTCATTAGAATTAGTGACAATTATGGAATAGTGCTTTGCCATTTTGGTAAGAGGCATAATTTGGAGCTCCACAGTGGTATAAAATTGTTTACTGGACCTCGTTGAAGAAAAAGTAATCTGGACGGATGTAGAGTGTACATCTGAACATCCCACTCTGCTTTCCGTTCTTACATTTCGGATGGGAAATGAGAATGGTACATCGTGATTATTGATTATTTCGTTCTGGTCTACATACATGAGAGTATCTGACTAGCTCATCACCGTATATAGTACTGTCAGGGTTTGGCTGTTTCATCTTGATGTATAGTCGTATCGGTGTTTGTTTGATCCTGATAATAAAGTCAATATTTTACTTTGCTATCAGTATTTGACTTTTTTTATAATTATATTCTTGCCAATATTTGCCTTTTATTCATGTAAACGTGCACCAGATGCCACTGACAATTGTAGATATTTTATTGTCATATAAACCTTAAGTTGTACAGTAGTTTGTATTACATTCAGCACAAAACTACATATATTTTGTTGTATATCTGAACATAGATATCCTAATAACTAAGTGAATATATATATACTGATGGTGAAAAGTTAACCTTCCCGTGAACATCCGGGTTAGAATTGATCTTCAGCAACCCATGCTTGTCATAAAAGGCGACTAACGGGTGGTAAGGCTCGCTGGACTTGATTGACACATGTCATCGTATTCCAATTGCGTAGATCGATGCTCATGATGCTGATCACTGGATTGTCTGGTCGAGACTCGATTATTGTCAGACCGCCGCCATATAGCTTGAATATTGCTGAGTGCGGAGTTGAACACCCAACCAACCAAGTAAATAACACCTATATTCTGAACTGGAAGGCCAGTTCTTGGCCTATCCTTCACCTCACCAGTATTCCTGAACTTTCAAAACAGCGTGCTGATCACCCTGTAATGAAGGTTAACGGCAGCGGCAATCTGACGTACGGACATGACAGCGTTACTCATATCAACAATTTGCCATCGTACAACCATGGTGACACGAGTTCGAAGACTCCCTCAATACGACTGATGTAATGCTAACATTAAAGTGGATTTGAATGTGACTGACGGTGAGGCCACATGTCCCCATGCACGTGTAAAATCGTCCATGATCGTGAATCTCATGCACGCCTCGTAGCACAGCATGGATAGTGCTTGTGTATTATCATTTGTTCGCGGTTCTGCAGTTCACACCCGTGAAGGTCCGGGTTAGAATATTGATCTTCAGTAACCCATGCTTGTCGTATGAGGCGACTAACGTGGTCAGGCTCGTTGACTTGGTTGACACATGTCATCCGTTCCCAATTGCGCAGATCGATGCTCATGCTGTTGATCACTGGACTGTCTGGTCCAGACTCGATTATTTACACACCGCAGCCATATAGCTGGAATATTGCTGAGTGCGGCGTAAAACTAAACTCACTCACTCACTCACTCACTCTGCAGTTCACTATTAGCTAAATATGTTATTCCCAATGCAGGTATTGTTAACGTTTTGCCATCAGTATACGTTTAATGTCATGTACACAGATAAAACACAAATGGAAAAAAACAAACGAGCATTGAGTGAGTATGCTTATCATGAGGATTCATGTTAATGTACCCAGATCGTATGCTGAGGATTCATGTTAATGTACCCAGATCGTATGCTGAGGATTCATGTTAATGTACCCAGATCGTATGCTGAGGATTCATGTTAATGTACCCAGATCGTATGCTGAGGATTCATGTTAATGTACCCAGATCGTATGCTGAGGATTCATGTTAATGTACCCAGATCGTATGCTGAGGATTCATGTTAATGTACCCAGATCGTATGCTGAGGATTCATGTTAATGTACCCAGATCGTATGCTGAGGATTCATGTTAATGTACCCAGATCGTATGCTGAGGATTCATGTTAATGTACCCAGATCGTATGCTGAGGATTCATGTTAATGTACCCAGATCGTATGCTGAGGATTCATGTTAATGTACCCAGATCGTATGCTGAGGATTCATGTTAATGTACCCAGATCGTATGCTGAGGATTCATGTTAATGTACCCAGATCGTATGCTGAGGATTCATGTTAATGTACCCAGATCGTATGCTGTGGATTCATGGTTAACTATGACATTAACATCAGTACAATTGGAGAGTGAGTGAATACGATTTTACGCCGCTTTTAGCAATATCCCAGCAATATGACGCCATATTTGAGATTCGGAAGTTGTACCCACGTGGGGAATCGAACCCGGGTTTTCGGCTTGATAGGCTAACGGTAAAGGCACCCTGGTCATTGCAGAAGTGGTTGTAACGGTAAATTCGTTTCAACTAAAATATACAGCATGTGACCGCGACAAAATCCAACTTCGTTATATCCGTCTGTTCGTCATAAACATAGTTTACTGTACCTGCATAACGTGACTGTCAAGGTAAACATTTACCGTTTTGAAACCACTGTCGTTCATACCAAGGGGAGTGTCAACTCCGAGAGTGAAACAAATTTTAATGGTAAATTATAACAAAAATATAAAGACAATAGCTATTATTGTTATTAAAGTTTCTTTGCATGTGCGCAATTTTACGTGAAGTAAAGGCAGAAAATGAGATGGCGTGGAAGCTATCATTATGATACCAGATTTGCGAAAAACGTGAGGCAAGGATCAATATCAACCGTCATATGTAATTAGCCTTATTCCAGCGCCCTACAGAGACATAACTCTCGTGAGTGTACTGTACAGTTGACGCCCTGTTCCCTGTCCATCAGTCTCTCGTAAAGACGACTCGTGTGCATGTCAAATGAATTCCTTTCATCTTACATTTCATTACGCTGAAATACTTTTGATATTGACGGTACAACTGTAAAGAATGGAAAAATATGTTATAAAGCATAAAGATCCGATGGGAACCGTTGTAACTTATACTTACAGAGAGAGAGAGAGAGAGAGAGAGAGAGAGAGAGAGAGAGAGAGAGAGAGAGAGAGAGAGAGAGAGAGAGAGAGAGAGAGAGAGAGAGAGAGAGAGAGAGAGAGAGAGAGAGAGAGAGAGAGAATAGTGTGTGTTCCCATACATACGTTTATCCCTCCTATCCCCCCCCCCCCATTGCTTTTTCAAGGGGAATTGCTATAATCTTTTGATTTACACTTTTTAAATAACCCATAGGTTTCCACACGAAAATAGCGGATCTTGTGATTTATGCTTTGTAAATGCTTGTGTAGGAAAGTTACTGCGTTGTTATACTTCCCCGCATTTCCTTTCATTTTCTGAGTGAAGTATGTTTAATGCAATACTCATAAAGGCGGAGTTTCCGGTGGAGCGGGTTCGTTTAATTATAGTCAGGGAGTGAACGTAGATTTACAGGCCAGTTCAGCTATTTAACAGCGGTATGTTGTATTAACGAAACAGTCTTCCCAATAAAAGTAGATGAATATAGGTTGAATTTAATTAAACGGTTCAAATGATCAAATATGTACCGATCTCACACTTTATATAAACTACTGGAAACGAGAAAGTATGCACGTGAAAACTGGATTTACTAATCAAATTACCATCAACAAAACGTTACAAATACTAAAATCCGCAACGCATTACAAACGTGAGGTCCAAAATACAACGGTGAAACCCTTATGAAACATGTCACCATCGAACGGCGAGTTTTGTGTTACTTTCATGTTTCAGACCCCATCACACATTGGCGTTACTGGTATTTGCCGGCAGGTTATGAATCTGACCAAAGCTCCATGGTGTCAGTAGATCTTGGCACTTGCATTACGATGCGTGAATTAGTCAATAAACCTTAAAATCTATGGATTATTAATCAGAGCGTGTCACGCCTTTACTCCGGCCGCAGATAGGTGGTATCTTCCTCCACTGACTACCATAATGTTGCAAGTGAACTAATTTGAAAAGCCTCTGCCTTTCAACCAAGCATGTCATGGTCAATCCGATAATCTCCGCAAATGTATGCGAAATGTACGCCTCCGTTTTAACAATAATCAGAAACAAGTTGATGCCTACTCCAGCACTGACCACCAGGAGGTAGGGACACATACGCCCCCGTTCGATACAACTTACAAACTACTCCCGTGTTCAACGCATCCTCTCAATATGGGGCCGCGCTCGGAGGTTAATATCGATTACTTCCCTTGTATGGGCGATGTCACGTGACTTTGATCGCTTCATGGAGCCGATTCGTGTGTGGAGTGAGTGATCAGTTATAGGCAAGCTAGTTCGCGGATATAAAGGATTTCGTTTTGTGTACAACTGTGGAAGCCTTTTTGGAACATGGTGCCGAGGCACTGGTAGAGGTAAACGCGAAAGGTAGGGAGACGATGTTTTGATTATTTCATTTGAAAGATTTTGAATGGAGTCTAGATGTAGAAATAAAAGTTTATCACTATTTGTAGGATTTAAATTAGGAAAGTAAATTTGTTTCAACAGGTATGTAATGTTTATTTTATCGTTTTCTGTTAACTGGTAGTCTATATGGGCATTTTGGGATACATTAGTGGAGGATGGATACACTAGAGGCGCTTCTTGTCATAGAGTCCGTGACATCATTTGTCCGAGTGTATTTTTCACGATGTTGTATGACGGTATCAAACCATACTGATTACTGAATGAGTTGTGCTTCAACTTCACTTGGCCTGAGTTGAACGAAGCAGAAACCGTGTTTCCAGAAGCATTCTAGAGCACTGCAACATCTTCGTCGGAAATATATTTCTCAGGGCCATTACTCTTTGAAACCAGATCAAAACCATGTCTGTCTTTAATACCCTTATGGATTAAGTGTTTAGGCGTCAATGTTCATTGTTAAAATATACTGATTGTTCAGGTGTGCTGGACACGCTGATTAGTTCAAGTGCTCCAGTGGAATCAATGTTGTTGGGTTAGATTCTGTAACTGCATGCGAAGTCGTTACCCTTCCTATCGACACACCCTTCGTTTACTGGGATACTTGTCTAGTACTCTTTTTCACTTCCTATTTGATTCGTCAAATCATTTATCAAAACAAATAGCATATTTATGATCTCATCAAGGAATTCCTAATTGACGAGAAAAGTATCATAATTCAAATAGGGAATTTGATAGAATACTGGTACTTTCACATATAAAGCGACTTTCCTACCACATTTCTCTGTCGTCAGTTGCTTCGTGTGAATCCTCCGTAAACCGTGTAGACAATGGTGAGACAATAAGCGTCTGTTTGTGGTCATGTAGCAGTCTACGAGACCCCAGAGCGAAGATTGTCGTTATAACAATATCTATATTGTCTGGATTTACCAGGATGGCGCGTGTGCTTGCCAATTAGACAAAGAAGAAGCTCGGTGTACTTTGTCGAGGGTATTTGTTATTCATTCGATACTGATTATGACCAAGCTGGGAGTTTCATTACGACGACATCTCGTGTGAATTGTTCAGGCACCGGAGACCGATGAATTTTGTAACACTACTGCAATGGGTTAAGATTCCTGAGACAGACTATGCTCCACAGCAGTGGAACTACATATCATGTATATAAGTCCTTTATAGAAGTCGTTATGGTAAAATATGATATGAATCATTTCTTATGTTCTATAATCATCTGATAAAAGAACAGGTTTATGCAAATGGTGTGCGATAAATTGATTATACATATACATGAACCTTTTATGTCATATATTTCGGGAAAATGATCCTTATTAACAATTATTTTACATATATTTAGGGCCTTCGGTCTGTGGTCGATACAACAGAATAATTATCAGCATATCTGAGCCTCTCTGTTCTATTGCTATAACTCAGTGAAGTAGCGTATGCCTTCGTGACATTAACAGTACAATCATGCCATAACTAGGTTTGCATATCGAGATACCAAAGTGCCATCTTACCATCTTACTCCATAGCCTAACACTGAATATCTTACGCCATATGTATTTACTCATATAATGACACAAAGGGGTCTTCACGCTGAACCTCACAGAAACACTCATTGTAAATATATTCATGAATAGTATATACTAACTCATACTTTGAGTTCATTATTCTCCAATTCGGAGACCCTGCGCTTCTAGAGATTTCTCATTTACGTTATAAATATTATTATATAAATCATAAAGACGGCATTTACGACGATTCGACGGCATCCTATCACGAGATATGATGTAGTGTATTCACTTAATATTCAAGCAAGTATATTAATATATAATGAAGCGAGTCAGGGTTGTTTGCCCATTCAGATTCATGATGTCACTACAGATTGCCTTCAAGGGGTCTTTGCTCTTTACTCGTGACGCAAACAATATGGGCCAGCCAAGCAACCGTAACATGCTGACATTTACTTTTCTTTTCGTTTAAGGAAGGAAACATTGACAAATACTCTCAACTGGATTACAAAGCCACACCAACCGAGGTGCGTGTTGATAACAGCTTAATTAATAACTGTTGGATTGACATTCTATAAGTTGGAGAATAAATAGGAAAAAGTGAACTTAATCAAAGATGAGGATGTTTTCGATGATATGCTTCATTGAGACGGATATGGTCCTCGGGTAAGTTGCGCACGATGATTATATACTACTATTCAATTTGGTATTATACAATATGAGTGTTTTTTGTATTGTATAATAAGTTGAACGAAATAACTAGTATTCATGTGCAGTCTATCCAACCTCAATGACAAGAGAAAATTATATTTAAAACAGTCATGTATATTTCACTTAATATATCATAAGGATTTATTCATATATTTCACAATATTATAATTGCTGATTCAACCATGTCACAAGAATTGTAGGTAAAACAGGGTTGCCGGAGTCTGCTTTTATGCAACGAGTATATGTCCGTCCGATTTCTGTTTGATATTCGTAAAGGCTAAAGCGTTAGGGAGTCCAACCATGTTCTGGAAGCGGTGAACACCACCAACGGGTTAGACGAAGAGAGCAGCCCCTTGCTGTATTGGACAAACACTATTTCCTAACGTCTTCGTCGTCAATCAGCTAAATTTATTTTTCATGATTCGGCTATCTGCTGTTATTTATCACATGAACAGTCTATTACTCTTGGGGCAGATCAATAACCATATGTCGGCTCTCATAACAGACCACAATCTTGCTACCTTATCTACAGAAAATATTCAGCGGTAAAAAAATTATATGAAATTTAAGAAACTAAAAACAAAAGCTTATCGATTTTGCTACGGGTTCAGTTTGTCATATTTGTTTGATAACAATGTCTGGTAATACCGGCACTTAAGAACTGGCCGCTGCGTTCATTTAGAACGCGGTACAGACTGATAAAGCACGAGGTGCCATGGTTCCTGACAATCTCATTGTCCGAATACACTGGCTGTCACACTCTTCCATCTGCTTAGTCTCGTTTCTGCAGACACAAATTTGACGACCATGTTGGAAATGTTGCCATCTGAATGTAGTTAAAAGTAGTCACAGACGGAGCAAAGAGCGGCTGCATTGAACCTTAGCGACAGCAGAGTGCAGCTTTCGATGTCACAACAACCAATATTGCCGTCGCATTGAGTACTCAAACAGGTTAAGGGTCTTCAGAAGGTTATTGTTTCTTTAGATTTTCTTTCGTCAGTGTGCGTCTGGTATGGGGATACAAGGAGGTGTTTTCACAACAGATGTTCCAAATGAGCGTTATGTTTCGTCTGGGGATTTACATCTTGTTTAATATATCGTTCATATCTCATCATGAGAACAACATTATCAGCTACATCTAGTCCTTAATATTTGAATCTACACGTACGATATGTTATACCTATATATCCAATTACATTTTAACCTGGCGAAGCTTGAGTGGATTGGGTGGTCTTGGGGGTGGATTGGGATGGGGAGGGGGTGGACAGGTGGGTATTCAAATTCGCCTTTACAGACTAGCCTCCATAAGCAAGACATTGTCCGGCCTGATGATGGTGCTGGGTTTGTGCATCATTATGCAGGGATTTAAGTTTAGGTACCATTCAAATCAGCGTGGAAGCTAGGTCATTCAACCATACACAATATCGCCTCATCCTGTACCAGGAACAATTAGCGGATCCACTGCTGTTTGTTGAAAATTGTGAACAGGTGAAAATGTTACCTAATTAGTGGGTTTCAGGCTTTCACAGCGGACACTGGTAGGTGACTATGAAGGGGTATGGCAGATAACACGATCTGCTCATTGAAGGCGTCTAAGTAGCATGGTGTTACGTTGGTCGCACGTATCATCCTCGGTGTTAATTACACTACGTCAGTGTTGTGTTTGTTACACGCCTCCACTCCGTGGCAGTCAATGTGTGAAGTACATCATAAAATAAAGCTGATAATGAAGTACTGCTCATAAGGCCCAACCATATAATAATGTATACTCGATGAAAAATAGGAAATGTCCTCAACATTTGTAAAGAAAACAACTTTTTTCTGACATGCTGGATGTGATGATAAACATGTTGAATGATTTCGTTGCTCGGCTCAGAACCCATCGAACGTGTTGTGGCGAATCACCGCCAAAATATTCCGTCTATCAAAAACCTACCCCACCCCACCCCTACACACAAAAATAAAAAAATAAAAGAAAGAAGAAAAGAAAAACACAAAGAGAAATAACAAGGCAAATATTAATAAAAAGAATAACATAAAAAAAACCAGATAAATAAAAAGAATGGGTGTTTGGAAGGCATGTCTCAAGTGTAACTTGTCATTACCATCTCCACGTTATTTTACTGCGGCGCAGTGTTGTAGATGGTCCCAGTATAAACCAATGCAGTTGAGATATCAATATTTGATGTGACCAGACAATGATAGATCATAATGGGCCAGGTCGCTTCTTTTCACAATATAATCTTAACGTACTAATAGAGCGATATTGTTATAAATTCGCTCAAGATTTAATCAATACATTTATTATCAAGACGTGTCTTCGCAAACTGCCACCAAAGTTTGTAAACATACAAAGCTTAGGATGAATGTTTGCTTTCAATCGTGAGCACACATAATTAGATCAAAGAAAGCAGCCCTCACACAGTCACGATGTGTTTATCAATTCCTTTTAACGGTTGAGGCAAAATATACATGAGAAAAAATCATAGAGCACGTATTGTTTTTAAAGGAAATGTAAACGGCATTGTGCATAAAAAGCTGTTCTGTGTTAACCTTGGCAAATTATTAAAAACATCCATTATCTATAGTCTCCGTGAGTCTTTTCTAGTCACGCTTGCTGCGGCGTAGGGGGATAGCAGATAAAAACAATGAATGTTGGTTTGGAGTATAGATTTGTATTCATTATTCAAACAGCCTTGATAAACCGTGATATATGAGACAGCTTCGATTTTGCTTTCTTTGTAA